TCTTTCTTTTTTTACTTGGAACATCATCAAAACAAACATAACCTATAAGTTTTTATGATAATGAACCATTATCGTTAGTTAGTTTTATTTATGAGCTTTTTTTCGTTTTCATCAAGAAAATACTCTAAGTCCAAAACAATATCAAGATGTTTACACAAAATCATCATAAAGATCCTTCATCATCATCGTCTGTATCTGTGCAGTGGGCGATATAATTATCTTCGTCGTCGTCATTATTTAATTCTTCTTCAATTTCTTCAGCATAAATATCGATGTGGATGTGGTTGTGGGTATGTGTGTGTGAGTATAGGTGTGAATGTAATGTGTGGATGTGACGTGTGGATACGAGTGGTGTGGGTGAGTATCTAACAATACCCACACTCACACCCACACCCATACTCCCCACTCAAACCCTACACCCATATCCCACACTCCAGACCCACGCACCCACCCATACTACTCATCCACACACCCACCCCACCCACACCCTGCAAGACAAATAAAAACCACCTGATCATCCTGATACTATTCATATCATTGACAATATTATAAAACTTCAAAAAACATTGGAAAGACATACTGATTGTGTTACAACTTTTCTTTAATCACGATTTATTGTAGAAATTCTCAAATATAAAAAAATAATTGATCATTATTTTTAGTCTTTGACTGAAAGTGAATATTGAGTTTTACCCGACAGTCCTTGAATTTTAATCCATGCTTTATATAACTCATTTTCTAAAGTTGTTGTAAATGGAATTCTGATATCGGTGTAGTAATAATTTACAGGTTTCTTTGATTTTAATTGTCCGATTTCTTTTGCTAAATAATTAATTATCTTCGATTTACTATGAGCATCAATTTTTTCATTCAAAGCAAATTCAGTCAAGATTTTCAAGATTTCATAAGTTTTAATTGCACTTTCATTTTTTAATGATTTTAATAAATCATCGATAAATTCATTCGGTGATAAATGTATCAGTGGAACTCCAATCACCGAATATTCTTTCACAACATTTTCATCCAATAATGCATTCATAGCATTGATCATGACTTGATGATTGGAATGATCCATAGCTGCAAGTAAGATAAAAGCATTTCCTCTTGCAGGAAAATACGGATGATAATTCAACATTCTTTCTAAAAGTTTAATCATTTGTACTTTATTAAACGTAGAAGAATTGGTTGTTTTTCGATATAGATAATCTTCTTTTTGTACACATGCAGAAACCAAAGATAATAAACAATCTACTATCATGCAGGAAAACATCGAATTACCAATATCTTTAAAACTTGTCATTTTTTGGATTAACCATCGAATGAGAATATCCATGACAACGATAGTTAATGAAATATTGTTTAACATATTTAATATAGTTTGATTGTAATTAATTGCAGCAAAAAAATTGCAATGAGCAAGATGTTTAATTTCAACGTAATTCTTCTGTGAAAGTTCTTCAACTTTCACGGTGATTTCGCTAATTAATTTGGATTCAAGAATAGCAAAATAAGTTTCATCGGTGAAATCTGTCACGGCAAAGATTTGATCAATTATAAAACGTATGATATCTACATCTGTACGTGTAAAATAGAATTGTTCTTTAAATTGACTTGTATCAGTTATTGAAAGAATTCTTGCAAAATCTAGCCAATTATCATCTGTAATTTGATCATGGTGTGTTAATGTCATCGTGGAGAATAATAGTTCTTCGACGTATGATGGATGTAGGGGTGATTCTGCAGCTCGTAGAAGCGCATTCCATGTATGATTATTGGTAAATTTGATCCGATTCAGAAAAAACAATTTTGTTTCATCATGAAGACTACTTTCTCGTAGTTTGGTTATTGATTCATATAAGTTTTGAAAGACTTGTGGGTCATCCCAACATACGTCATAGAAGAAACTATTTAAATACGCTCGGATTCTTGGTAAATATTCTCTGATCGAAATATTTTCGAGAATTTTCATTAATGTTTTTTCTCCGATTACTGAGGCTCGTTTACTAGGTTCACTAGGATTTCGTTCTGGATGTTGAAAAATTCGTTGAGCTCTATATCTCATTTGATCATTATCATTGCTTAATAAATCGATAAGATGATCAATAGCCGATTCAAAAACATGTTTAGCTTCTGCGAGTAATAGAGCGGCTAATTTTTTGATTTGATGAGTATGATTACTTGTAAACCATCGTTGAACAGTGGGCAAAACTTCATTCGATGGTCTGATAATATAAGGAAATAGAATTGAAATAGTCTCTTCTTTTCCTTGGTGTACAAATTCATCAATAACCATGGCTGCGAGTGGGGTGAGAAATAATTCTGTGCTTAAACCAATCTTTAATATTTTTTCAATGTTTGATTGATTATCGATATCATTGAAAAGATTGATCCATAATTGATCGATACTCTCGTTGTTGCCTGTGACTAATTTGATATCATTTAACTGAGCAAAGAGTAAGAAGAGAGATTGCAGTTGTGTATGCCTTGAAAGATCTTTTGTTTGTTCAGTGGATAATATTTTTCCATAAGAGCCATTGATGAAATACTGAGATGTTTTGTTGGTTAGATTTTCTACTATTTGGTTCAGTTTTATTTCGAGATCACTATATATACCGATACACGGTTTTAATTTGATGATTAATTTGATTTGATCATCATCTTCCACCATCGTGTTCAGTATTTCTACTGCATTTGTGAGATATTTTCGACGGAATTCTCCAGAACCATAAAATGATAATCTGATTGATGCAATGATTCGGTTGTAACAACCTTCGATGCGGTCATAGGTCAAAATCAATTCATCCATGATTTGCTGGATGAAGAATTTTTGTTGTGGATCTTTGTAATGAACAATAAGAAAAATCTTTTCCAAAATTTGAAATTTTAAAACTGCTTCTGAAATATTCATTGATAATGTGAAAGATTGAACCAAAAGTTCTTGACTTTTATCATCGTAAAACTCTGCTAATTGATACAATGCTCTTGATTTATAATATAGATTGGACATGGGTTCAATTTTCTCAAGTAAAAATTCTTTGACATTTGTTTTTTCCTCTAGTTCAGGTAGTAATCGATTATAGACTTTCGACGGGTCTAAGTCTTTTGACATAATACCAAAATGTAACAATATCACCAATGGAATTAGTTCCGGATTTCTATTAAAATAATCTTCGTTAAAGAAAACGGCAGGAATTTCACCGGTTAGATATGGAATATTCATATGAATGTTTTCTAAACAATTGAAAAATGCGATTGGAATATCATCGTTTAGATGTGACTTGAAAGTGAATGTGTCTGTAACCCATGTATATGCTCGAATTGGTTGATACATTTGAACTACATCATTAATTCGTAAAAATGGTTCGAGAATTTGATCAACTTTTCCAGATGTATGGAACTCATCTGCTATCACCGCTATACTATATCGAAAATCATCAGTAGCACCAGTCAATTTAAAGGCGTAATATTCTGCATAAAAATTCCATCTATTTTCGTCATTATCCATAGCTTCTGCTAGACTTTTCGTATCAACTGGTAAGCCTCCACTATTAGCCACTAAAGCTAAATATATTTTGCAATAATCAGAAAAATTAAGAGTAGATAGCAGTTCGTTTGTTGTGAGATTATTATAAATTGACATAAAATAATCAGCAATAGATGAAGAGCATCTAGCAATGTGATCTTTTAAAACATAAATTAATTGTTCAATTCTGTTTGTAAAACTTTTTCGAAATATTTCAGCTTTTGTTTTGATAGCAGTATTGATTAAATCGAAATCTTCTAAAACGATTAATGCGAGAAAAACATCCATTTCGTCACTTACACTCAATTTCTCGTCGCTTATTTTCTTTCGTAATCCTTCTAATAAATCTGTTGGAGGTTTTTTCTTACGAAGCAATTCGAGAATTTGATTGGTTAAAAATGATTCTTTGTAAATTTTATCTTGATCAAATAACGGCTGGTCGTTCCAATGTTTGGAACTGCTGATTTTTTCAGCACGCACAGCCATGCTATAAGCTGTATCGTCTCTATCCCATAATTCTTGATAATAAAAGATAAATGGTGCTCGTTCAATATCACTTAATGCAAGAAACTGAGATAGTTCCATGTATTCGGAAATACTTTCTTGCGAATGATAATTTTCATACCCTCCATACAGAGCTAGGATTAAACGTAACCAGTCACTATTCTGGGCAATATAAACGATCATTCGAGGATCATGATTGAGAGTTGTTTTAAATTTCAATTGTGTTGCTACTGCATCGACGACGATTTCTTTGGAATAGAAACGTAGGAGAGCATCGATAGGCCAATTCCAAATAGGAGAATCATGATGCAAATTCTTTAAGAATATTTCATGAAATTTTGCATGATACCATGTCAATTGGTAGATAATGTTGGCACATGAGGCAATGTATTCTTCCTGATTGATTTTCATAATAAACCATTCCAGCAATGTACTTTCATGTATTTTCTTTAGTTTGAGAAAATAAGCATGAATTAATTCTTGATGATCTTTTAATCTTGAAAAACCAGACATATCGTTGTAATCTAATAATAACATATCTGCTAGTTTTTGAATTAGTTGCGATTCTGTATCTCTAAAAGAAAAATGCATATCATTTAGGGAATCAATAAGAATAAATGGAACAAGAAGTGTAGAAAATTGTCTGTTCGGTGTGGTTTGTTCATTGTTTAATAATTGTGCAAGAATGTAATTAAACAATCCATTCGGTTCAGATAGTTTACTTAATATTCCAAATGTCATACTAAGAGGAACTCTCCAATTGGGGATGCCAATTTTGCTTTTAATGTTGTCAATAATCATCTCTTTCGGTCGTTGGACTCCATTGAAATAGATAATACTTTTCGCTGCGAGATATTCTTGAAAAGTCCGATGTATAAATCGAAAACTATCATATCCAAATTCATTGAGTACACCTGCTTGATATTTGAAGATATCCACTAGCTTGAAAATGGAATCCTCGATGCGAGATAATGGAATCTGATATAAGATTAAACATTTTTCAATGAATTCTTTTAAAACATTCTCAGATAATCCTTCTACTTTACTATGTAAAAAATCGGCAATTTCTTGTAAGATTGACCAGAACATCGTGACAGTTAATCCTAAATCATCAATGGAAAGATGAACTAATCGTTCAATCATTTTCTCAATTGCTATTTCATATAAATCAATTCTTTTCTTAGGTAATTTATCTTCTAATTGATTATAAATCGCTGCAATTACACTGGCTAGTTGAGGATTAATTGCTAGTTGAAAAATATCTTTATTCTGTGCAATATCTTCATACAATTGATCACTTCCACGTTTCTCTCTTTTCATCGAAGTATCATTGATGCATTTCATATATGATCGACAGAATAATTTCAATGCATCATTGGACATGTTTTCAATGGTTAATCTTGGAATAGAAAAATTAATATCTTCGAAATAATTCCCCTCAATTCGACTGGTGATAATAAATCGATTGCCTAGATTCGGAAATTTCGTTCCATGAATTTCTTTTTGTTCATAAATGGAATAAGAAAGTTTGCCAGTATTCATATCATAATCAATACCTCGTTCTAAGAGAGCATTGATTTCTTTCATTAAATCTGATCGATCAATATGAGCAGGAACTTCATCTAATCCTTCGAAAATAATCAATACATTGCCCTGCATTAATGAGGAAAGTACCAACGACGAAAGATCATTCTGTTCATCAGGAGTGAAGAATGTCGAATTAAGAGTTGGATTTTCATAAATAAATTGAAGTAAACTTTTTTTTTGTTCATTTTGGGTGTGTTTCATTTGATCGACATATTTCCAAATTGGAATAAAAATTGGGAATTTTTCTGTACAATCAGATAAAAGATTGGCCTCACCTAAACATTGCTTCGCCATATTCATTGCTAACCATTTGGATATGGTGGTTTTTCCTGAACCTGGATGACCTAAGATAACGAAATGTTTGAATTCATTATATGCTTGTTGAATTTGATATTGTTTCGCTTCTTTAAAATGACTTTTTTCGAGAATATTCTGTTTTAATTGATTAATTTTATTTTTGATTGCCGTCGCTTCATCTTCCGTAAAGATAGTTCGATTACTTAGCAAAACATTTAACCATTGATCAATCATAAAATCTCGATAGATTGTTTCGGGACTAAAGGCATTTCTTTCGATAATTGCTCGATTTAATTTTTTCATTTCCTGTTCGGTGAAAAATCCATAGGATAATAATTTGCGTTTGAATTCTTCGTTTACTTCCAAAGTTTTCATGGCTTTAATTGATGGGTGTGTTGGATCAAATTTCAGTTCAACATAAACACTTTCCAACGGTAAAGTTATATTTGTATTAGAATATCCAAAGATCGAGACATGGCCATGTTCTTGAATCAAATAATGAAGATATTTCTTGCGAATATTGACTTTTTTATCGGTAAATAATAAACTATCACGGATGATTGGTGTAAAGGCTTTAAGATTTTTAATAAAAGAAAGTAAA